GAAATACTGTTAAAACTGGACTTGACAATTGGGACTTTTTAAAAGTACTGTTGTTACAAATGTGTATTTGAGTGAACATGTTAATGAACATAATATTTTACAAATAATTGTGGTTATTGGGTACAATGAATATGAGAGCTATGAAGATAAAATGGGACATATCAGGATTTACTGAATGTAGGAAGTTTTCAACACAAAAGATTGTTGAAGTTATATTGTGTTATTGAATGGAGGGTGCTGAAAAAGTGGTTTTGAATACCACAGAGGTTTTTGCGATCATTGAATATGGGAAAGGTCCAATGAATATAATATTTGTTGAATGAAGGGATTTTAACGTCGTAAGGAACAGAAATAGAAAATATAAGTTTGAAGAAATACAGACCAAAAAAAGCATCACGACTGCTCCTGATATAACACACGATTAAACAATATTCATGCAGATGTCAGAATATTTAAGAGATAACGTTTCATAATTTTCTTTTTATTGGTATTTCAAAGATTTTTCAATGAAAACTTTTTCATGAATTTATAAACTAAAAAACATCAATGCTTTTTGCCATGTGGTCTGACTCATTTCTGTAGCACAGCCATTGACATATCAACAGTATATAATCAATCATCATTTATTTCTCTGACGGAATTTCCTTCCATATACCATTTCCCATCCTATATTTTACTTCTTTAAAATGTGTGGTTTGTATCCAAGCGATATCGTTTGTTGTCATGGCTCGAAATACGTTTTCAACTGAATCACCCCATATAATGCATGTTTTCTACAACGTAGAAACCAAAATATCTATCAAAAAGGATTTTATGGTACAATATTGTTTTTCATGTTTAACTGTCTGTGGAAAGGCTGAGAACATTCATCATTATGTCAGCTGATAGTCTTTAAAACCTCAAGAAAAAACACAAAACACACTTAGCAATGGAAACAATATTTTCTTAGGAATCCCACACTTTTGTTGTAATAACTTTTGAAGAAAAGGACACCATGGTATCCATTAAAAAACGAGAAAACAAATATCATGAAACTGGATATAGGCAACATAACACACGCTGTAATATTGGGTCTTTTTAACACATAGCTTGGCATGTTTAATTACCTGAAATTGACACCATTTTTTTAACATATTAGGTGCTCTACTTTAGTGCAAGGAATGACACAGTATCAAAGGAAATTGATCACCGTAGTTTATTTATTGTATCGTTGTGAGAGCAGAGCCTAGGACCAACAGATCTGCAACCATAAATTAACGAAACAGCTAAAAAACGACTGCATCTGGGTTACATATACACGTTGTACCCCATATATCTCTGTTACTGTATAGTTGTCTATGGCTTCAGTAATTTTCTACTCCACCCTGTACCAGACTGAGAAATATACTTACAGAAATCTTGTTTCCTATATAAGGAAATGTTATATACAAAAAAGAGAATTTTAACAAAAAGAACTGGTTAATCTTTCACTATAATTACAAGCCTTACCAATAATTAGCAGAATTTACTCTTATAAACCAGTCTTTACCAGTCATAATCTTACAACACAACTTCTTCTGTATAATCAGACAATTTCACAAAAATATCAATGAAACTGTCCAATACAACTGAAAGTGACAGTCTGATACTTTTACATCAATGTATGAAATAGTATGGAAGGAACGGATAGGTACATTGTATTTTATAAACAGTATGGAAGGAACGGATAGGTGGGACATGTACATTGTATTTTATAAACAGTATGGAAGGAACGGATAGGTGGGACATGTACATTGTATTTTATAAACAGTATGGAAGGAACGGATAGGTGGGACATGTACATTGTATTTTATAAACAGTATGGAAGGAACGGATAGGTGGGACATGTACATTGTATTTTATAAACAGTATGGAAGGAACAGATAGGTGGGACATGTACATTGTATTTTATAAACAGTATGGAAGGAACAGATAGGTGGGACATGTACATTGTATTTTATAAACAGTATGGAAGGAACGGATAGGTGGGACATGTACATTGTATTTTATAAACAGTATGGAAGGAACGGATAGGTACACTGTATTTTATAAACAGTATGGAAGGAACGGATAGGTACACTGTATTTTATAAACAGTATGGAAGGAACGGATAGGTGGGACATGTACATTGTATTTTATAAACAGTATGGAAGGAACGGATAGGTACATTGTATTTTATAAACAGTATGGAAGGAACGGATAGGTACACTGTATTTTATAAACAGTATGGAAGGAACGGATAGGTACATTGTATTTTATAAACAGTATGGAAGGAACGGATAGGTACATTGTATTTTATAAACAGTATGGAAGGAACGGATAGGTGGGACATGTACATTGTATTTTATAAACAGTATGGAAGGAACGGATAGGTACACTGTATTTTATAAACAGTATGGAAGGAACGGATAGGTACACTGTATTTTATAAACAGTATGGAAGGAACGGATAGGTGGGACATGTACATTGTATTTTATAAACAGTATGGAAGGAACGGATAGGTACATTGTATTTTATAAACAGTATGGAAGGAACGGATAGGTACACTGTATTTTATAAACAGTATGGAAGGAACGGATAGGTACATTGTATTTTATAAACAGTATGGAAGGAACGGATAGGTACATTGTATTTTATAAACAGTATGGAAGGAACGGATAGGTGGGACATTTACATTGTATTTTATAAACAGTATGGAAGGAATCGATAGGTGGGACATGTACATCGTATTTTATAAGTAGATCTCTCACACTCAGCTGAAGAAGCACGCTTCTTTGGTGTAGTTGGTAGTGCTGTGGATTAAAGCAGAGACCAGGTTTGATTCCTGTTGGGGCACTCGACAGAAAGGTGTATATCCTGTTCTTTCACAATCGTCCAATACCAAAGTCACTACAGTGGGCTTATTCCAGACATGGACTATAGCCAGATATATACAGTATTTCTGAAATTTCTTTCAGAGAGGTTGTAGACAACCCTACACCATTGTCATTAGCTTTAAAGGACCTGTTTACAATGTTATATGTATTTACCCAACAATCTCTGAAGATTATACTTATATATCCAGTGGAGTAAACAAACACAGTACTTCATACATACTTATATAAAGTCAATATTTACTACAGATTGGAACCCCTATATATAATCCTTAACAAGCTATGTCACGAGACATTGCCACCTACTAAAAAGGAAACTTATTTTCAAAACAGATGGAGTTTTTATTTTTTGACAATACAGAGAGAGAGAGTTTCATTTGTGAACACACATTTGCTAGTAACCAAATTGTCCACCAAGGACAAATCTAAATAATACATGAATTTACTACTTTCAAATACTACGAGACTTGAGATATTGCATAAATCACCTTATCTTTCAATAACCATATTTAAACAATGATAAGCCAGCTTTGGCCTGCACATAAAATCTCACTGAAAAAGGGGATATGGCTTATTCCTGGACAATGATGTAAGTTCACTGTCATTACTACTCACTAAATCTGACATCAGTAGATTTGGACGGGCTTAATATCCGATATATGCTTATTTATTGATAAAAACTGAAATATATAGCATTACATCTGCTAATATCTTAAACATCGAAAAATGTAGAACATTTACCGCTGAAACTAGTTTTAGATATACACATAAAGTAAACATGTATAAGGTTGATTTTCTGAAAAGTTTACTTCACAATTGAGAAAACTTGAGACACATTTAAGGAATATTACAGTATCTCAACTCAATAGATTCTCACAGAGAACCAAGTGGCTTTCAAGAGCCCCAGAATGTGTTTACGCAACTCTGTTTACCTCCCGTAAGTGGAGTTCTTCAAATATGTGAGGTAGGAAAGTACTGGTGGTCTGTTGACTACCCATTAATTAGAAGAGCTGAATAACATTGTTATTTAATGAGTCAGGTAAAAATGACTCCTACAAGTAAGTCAACTAATACCCACCCAAAAGAAAATGAATTGAAAAATATTTTATCTCAGAAATATTCTTAAAAGTGAGAGATTCATGAATATTCTCTCGATATTCAGAAATCAATAAAAAGATGCTTACTTACAATCTATTTCTCAAGAAGATGAAAGTTTATAGCTTTGTATTTCATGTATCTATTTTTTTATTTATTTTTAAACTGAAATAAGCAAATGCATACAAGATAAACTAACAGTACAGGATTATGAAACTCTCTCCACGTTCTGCATAAGAGTTCAGGTGTACATGATGCTAACTTCCCAATATAACAATTGACCTATATCAGTTTAGTGAAATGTCTCAATTACCACAGAAAGGCAATATAATAACCTCCTAGAACGTACTGAGATTAATGGCACTTCCTTGGCTGTTAATGGCACTTACAGAACAGGTGTAGTTATCGCCAAGTTTACCCTCCAACAGGTGAGAGAAAGTTTAAACATTTCTAGACACAAAAGTATGTAGACTTTTTTCTTTCCTCTGAAGGAAAACAAACGGTGTTCATTGTAGAAATAGAAAAATATATCAAATGATTTTCTGAAGAATTGGCACCAGTATAACAACACAATGACAAGAATCAGAATGACTGAAATTTTCATCTTTTTTTTTTAACTGAAATTATTCCAATTTATTATGATTTTAATTGCAGTTTGAAGAAAGAAAGTTGAGCATAAGTTTCTATCTTTTTTGAAAATGTTAAAAAGAAAACATCATGAACACTGAACACATGAACTTGACTGTAATTTTGAAGTATAGCGCTTACATGGACAACACATATATATGGGACATAATTTGATATATGACATTGGCTATTTTATACTATTTTATCAAGTTTTACAAAAATTTATGACAATATTCACTTGTAATCTGCATCTTCCCAAATTGACATTTTGAATTTGGTTTTCTGAGTGGTCAGTACTGCCCAGCATTGAATGGTGAGATCTGACTGACCAATCCTTCAGTCTGTTACACCTTAACACCTTTAAAACAAATCCTGGTGATGACTTACCTGTGAGAAATTCAGCTCGTTGAGTGGCACACACTGTTCCTCCACTCGTTCTATTGCACCTGTCACCTTCCCAATTTTTTCTGCCTGTTGCGCGAGGTATAAGTCTAAGACTGGGGTCCCCCTTGACTTAATATCACTTTCTGTTAATGAATTCACCATAAGCATGACCCAAATGGGTCGTTTTCTCTGCCAGTTCCCCGCAATAGCATTAAATAAATAGTCCGCGTACATTCCTCGGCCCTTTTGGTCAGCGGACATCCACGAGGGCATTTTTTGTCGAACATACTCTAGATGACTCTTTAATCGGTTGAACATGTCAACCGGCAAAACGTCTGATAGGTTCTCCCCATTTGGCAAGAGTTGACAGTTAGCCAAAGCTGTAACTGTATACACATCTGTGAGATCCAACTCAAAGAATATGTTCTCTGACTGTTGAAAAGCTTCTTTGGTGCTTTCTGGAATGTGACTCCACACTTTGGTGTAAGGAACATGGATTGTCCCGAAAAAGTAGGAGGGTGGATCTCGGTTCAGTGTCCACAGAAAGGAATTCTGATGATCTGGCTGCAAAAAAAAAAGAAAAAGAATGATGAAAATTTGAATCCCCAAATACAAATTACTTTTGAAACTTTTCATGGTGTGCTTTTTTTTAAGCTACTGCACACTCTCATAACCTTATTATATTATTTTTCAAAAGTCACAGTTCAATTAAATTGATATCGAGTATGAGATGGTTTTAGGGTCGTTAGGTGCTGCATTGTCGATGCTGAAAGCTAAAGTGTCAGTGCTGAAAATTGGTGACATTTTGCTGTTATTTTCAAGGTGAAGCATTTACCATTAAATCATTGCAACAGTATAGTAAACCCTTACCATAAACAATCTCAGCTTCACGTATACATGTATAAACCATTCATGACCTTGAACCTTTGTTTCCTTAATCATAATATTTTGGACAATGTAGAGTTCAGTTTCTTGTGTAACTGTGACCTTGAGATTTGAGTTGTTGACTCTTTCCCAAAAGAATGATTTTCCTCTGGACAGTGGTATATCAACATATTGTGTGGAATTTTCCTCCCTCATTGCGAGGTTGAGACAGGGAGAATTTTCATTATGCTACAGTGTATTAATCATTTGCAGGTAACACCAATGTGTTGCACAAATATAAGATCTAAAAGGGTATCGAATAGTCATCATTTACCTTATCAGATGTGAAATAGGGAAACACAACTCTATGGTTATATTGTTTAGCTGACAAACACTTCACAAAACTTTTCAGTGTTTGTGTTTGTCAACTAAAGAATCTTACCCCTTTGGTTGAGATTCCTGTATCTCATCCATTAGGCAAGTAAAATATTTGGAGTGTTACATTTACAACAATTTGATCACAACTAAATATCTTTGTGTTTGGCACAAAAATTGTTTTTCAACGAAAACAAAGAAATATTTACATATATCTACAAATGGCCAAGTGGCCTTGACAGTCACCTAAGATAAACAATATTGATTATAAAGATTAAAAGGGTAAGTAGCTTTCAAGTGTCATGAAAAAGAAATTGTGACACTGATGATAGTAAACCAGTGTCAATACCTGCATACCATCAAAACTGTCATCCTATACTAATAATTCTTACAAAGTTATTTCCATTGGGAAATAAACAACATTATGCTACTAAATTTTTGTTTAAAAATTACAGTAAAGTTACCCTCCTCCCCAGGAAGAAATGTCACACCCATTTCGGTAAATAAAGCACCTTAAGATACTTCCATCCTGGAAGAGCATTTGATTCTACTATATCTGGGCATTGAGAAGAAGATTTTTGAAATCCACGTCAATTTGACCCCTTTTGGCCCCGCCTCTCAGGCCTCTGTGGGTTGGGAACTTATAATTCACTATTTTGGTTCATATTAGACCAGGATAGGTTTCTGCAAAATTTCATTGAAATCAGTTTGGGGGGGTTATTAAAAAGAAGTCGAAAATGTTGTTTTTCTCAGGTGATGTGAAACGTATCATTTGAAGAATATCAGAGTAGAATCCACCTAAACTTATTGTTGATATATAACTGTATTCCATCACTCCAGATATACCAATCACCACACCTCTCTCTTAAACAATATCTGTCACTGATTAAAATCTATATTGATAAAACTGTTGACATGTATGTGAAATTTTAAGGCACAAAAGTGACTTTATGAGCAGATAATTCACAAATTCCTATCTCCCAACCCTTCTTTATACCACAGGTTCATAACTTTCAGTGGTAAAATATCTCATCCCACATAAAACCTATCACCCCTACTTCCCCATTTTCTAATTTTAGTGCAGTTTTCGTTTACAATTTTCATCATATACTGACAATTGTAACCAGCCTGCCAGCCATCTCCCTCTCCACCAGCCCCCTGCAAACTCCCTATACACCTCGGCTCCTCCCTACCAACTTTTTTTAATGTAACTTTTGTAATTTTGCTGATGTTCACAAACTTTCACTGGCAATCTAACTGACACTTGTATGGCTCGTCAATCTATTTATGCACTGCCCCCTCCCAACCTCGGGTGTGACTTTAACTGCTTCCATCTTCCCTGAGGTGAGGGTTGATGTACCCTGCCGTTAGTTATTGGAGATGGAAACCAGCTCTAAAGATAACTTCTTTGACATTCAGTGGCAGACATGCCCTAAACTTAAGTACAAAGGCCTATCACATGCTTTACTGTGTAAGTTATTACATTTTTTGGCATTATGATTTATGACAGTTCACCGCAAAATCCTATATTTATCAAATCATAACCTTGTCAAATCATAAATGTCAAAATAACCAAATCAAATTTCCCATAATGCTATTTACGGACAATACTTTTGATATTAGTGAAAGTTTGATAGTGTCGATGAAGCCTATACTACTTTGTTAAAATTAATTTCAAGTGAAAATGAATATTCATGTGATAGCACTGATAAAATGTGCTCTTCATAAGTAAGTCAAATATATATACAGTGGATGTTTGAAATATACAACTAGGTCACAGTATTTACGTTGAAAAAAAAATCCAAAAAATCCAGCAAAAAACTGTCAGCATTTGGAAGGCTTCGCCCGAAAAAAACATGTCGTAAATTCAGTAGGCCACCATGGTGGTGTATTTTTTAATTACGATTGATATCTCGGGTATTATGATGAATGCTGACAGAGATTCTCAAAGATTGGTCTTCATCTTAACTGTACGGCAAGCTCTGACAATAACACCGGAAATGCTAGAACATAATTTAAGATGAGAAAATGTGAGGGTGGCCGAGTTTATTAATGAAACAGAATGTTGCCACACAATCTTCTTAATCATACTGAAATTAGATATAGATGTGATCTAAATAAATTACAAATTCACACTACCTTATATAGACATGATATTTTATATTGATACAAAGAATTTAAACAAAAGCTTTAAAATTTCTTCTATATGCGTTCTTTTTATATCATTGAAATCATTATAATTAGAGTCATTCATGCCAAATTGTTGTTTTTCCTCTGATGATCATGAACCAAACAATTTTCTTTGATTAATCATTATTTCACTACAACATGGAAACATGTAAGAGCCATACAAATTTACACAAGATCAGAGAGCATCATTAAAATAACCAGTTCTATAAAATAGGATTTCACAATAAATTGGATTAAAACGTATTACAATCCCCTACTGAATGTGAATTTATGTGCAAAGAATCCACTGCATGTGAAACTATGCCCCAAATGTATGAGATAAGAACATGAACAAACAATTTCTTCATGTAGGACAAAGGTCAAAATGTAGGTCAAAATGACCTACTTTTGATCCAAGACACCCTGCCTCACTAACGTGAACCCCAAGTATGAAGTTCCAGCACCAAGTGATATAAGTGATAGAACCTTGGAAAGATGGCTGATAGAAAGTCAGATGAATGGCCAGACGCCCGCCAAATTGTTCCTGCCCCTCCCCGGGTCAAGGTGTAGTACTAATGATACTTTACAAAATACAATCTGATATTTGCAAGTAATATTATTCTATCCAACTTCATGAATGCTTAAGTTTATTCTACAATGAAAACCTGATAATATATATCACTCAAGTCTGTGATAAATAGTGATCATCAATCAATGAATTCTGTAGTGATTCTCCAAATCAATTTAACACATAAATCAATATGAGATGTCTACTTAAAAGTATCAAATTTAATGGCCTTTGTGAAAACCATGAGTGTTTATGTCAATTTTATAACTGTGTGATGTCTTTCGGAAGCCGACACAAACTTTTTCTTCCTAAGTATCTAACACAGCACCATAAAACATAAAAAAACTCATACATTATTTATAACTTTACAAACATTTACCACAGCGATCAAAAGTTCAACAGCAAATACTTGTTTTTATGGTCGCCACTATAACATAAGATGTTCCAAATAGGATTGACTGCATTCATGATTCTCTGGTAAAATCGGTTTCACATATTTTAATAACAAATGCTGTGTCCCTTTGAAAGATTTAATCTTTTAAAACATCCCTAGTACTACGTTAGCGATCACATTATCCAATATGATCCATAGTACACCATGACAGCCGTTAAGAAGGAAACATAAACAAAATATCTGTTGCACCTGTGAGGTTGTTTGCCGGTCGTCCAAGTCTGTTACAGAATAATATCTCCACATTCTTAGGTTTATGGAATTATGACCACAAAAACAAATTCACCTCATCAAAGAAACAAATAGAGATTACTAGTAAAACTTATAATTCATACAAGGAAAACCGGTTTTTATATAGATGTTGCTGGCAATTCAGAGCACTTGGCTAAATGAGGCTATTTCATATAAAATATATATTCATTATATCCGTGCATTTCCCTTCCGGTTATGTTTCTCTTTGTATCAAATTCCCCTTATTATCATTTTTTTAATAATTATTGTTGGCCCAATTTTGTATCAAATTATCTACCTAAGGTACATCATTTACAGGATATTTCTAAATGAATTTCACTTAATTTTAGAATTAAAAAATTTTTTTTTAACCTGTCTGAATGTCACTCAACCAAATTCATTCAGAATTTTATAGATCTTGTACACAATACTTGTGATTTGCATCCAAGAGTGTGAAAAGGTCGGTATCTCTGCTTCAGAATACAAGACAGAACGTTACCACAAAGTTATCTTATTCTACAGCAGTAAGATCTATGCCAACATTGTTGATAGTCAGTTTCTGCAGGGATGCAAGCATTCAGTTTGGCATTGACCTCTGACCTGTCTACACCTGTGAAAGTGTAAATCAATGATTAGAATAACACACAATCTAAACAGGAGATAAACAATTCTTTCCTTTTTTCTTCTCTCTATCCCCAAACTCTTGTTTTCCCTTTCTTCTTATCTTAGCTTTTTCACTGCATTTTTTTGTGGAGGTTAACTTTAATTAAATAAATGAAAACAAGATGAAGTCAATTTCCATCACCAGTAAAAAGAAACATGTTCAGAAAACACATATCAGTCTATATACTTAGATTTTCTTCATATATTTACTAAAATCACAAAAAAAACAAAAGTGTATTTAAA